ATGGTTAGTACACCCAACAGAATGATTAGTACAACCGACGGAATGATTAGTACAACCAACAGAATGGTTAGTACAACCGACGGAATGGTTAGTACAACCAACAGAATGATTAGTACAACCAACAGAATGGTTAGTACAACCAACAGGATGATTAGTACAACTACTAGCATTGCAACAAGCATGGTGCCAGGTAATACTATTGCTTTTCAACGTTTAGTTAATATTGTAAGTTAGAAAGTGATTCACTGAAATTTCAATGGCACAACCTACCCTAGGGTATGTACTTAACAAAGGGTGCCCGAAGAAGTACCCTGCTACTAGTATGCCTTAGGAACTTTATGGTACTTGAGCACTTAAAAGTACTTTTAGGTACCTTTTAGGTACTCAGGTAGGTAACCTGCTGGAAAGCAACTAGTAAATGGATACTTGAAGGTACTGATCAAGTACTCAATTGAGTACTATTGCACAGTATGCTTAGGTACCCTGTCACCAAAATTGCAGTAGGCTGATGATCAAACCTAATCTTCGAACTTTTTCATTTTTTTTCTCTCAAAGTAATCTGTTAAGTTTTTTCGATTTTATTTAATTTAATTTTTCCAATTCTTAAAACTCTATCAGGTGAAATTTCGGGCTCTAACCGGACTTGAGTTGGTCGAATCTCCATCCGACCACTTCAGGGTAATCCGATCTTAATTTACGATTAAGATCGGCATGTTTTCGACTAATAAATAGTCAAGAAATAATCTAGAAAAACAAATATGAAAATACTTTATTTTCTTATGGTTTGCCGAGTTGTTTATAAGAACCCATGTAGCCGATAATGGATGAATAATGGAAAAATGACCTATTATTTTCCATTATTTCAAAAAAAAATGAATTAATGCATTGTAATTAATTATTTTTTGACTTTTCAATGCATTACAATGCATTTTTTCTAATAATGCGAAAATGGTTTGAAAGTACAGTAAAATTTCAATGCATTACAATGCATTATTCCAAATAATGGACAATTTTGAGATAATGCATTATCAGGCATAACATAGGCATTGAGGATAATACAAGGGAGGAATAGGTAATTTATGATTTTGGGAGTTAAGGTGATTTTTTTGATTTAATTTTGGTTTTAGCTGAGTTAAACCAGTTTTTTCACCTTGGATTAAATCATGAATGATTTTGTTTTCCAAATATGAAACCATTTTCATACTATTGAAACAGTCTTATGTCATATATACGTTTTTCAACTGTTTTCGCTTTCAACTGCAATTCAACATGATCCAAGGGGTAAGTTTGAATTCAATAACAAAAATATTATTTATTCATTGTCTTTTGTTTTAGATTTTCATCGATCTGCTCTAAATGGTAAGTTACAATTCAATATTAAAATTATTTCTATTTCTATTTCTTTTTCTTATGCTTTAGATTTATATCGATTATGATCGAAATGGTAAGTTCGAATTTAATAATAATAAACTTATTGATTCATTAATTTTCTTTTGTTTTAGATTCTTATCGATATGATTAAGATGATACGCTATGGGATAGATATATATATATATATAAGAGGGTTGATGAAAGTTAAGGGTTAAGTCAAGTTAGAGAGAGAGATTAAGGTTAAGGGGTTAAGTTAAGGGGATAGATTTGCAGAATCACAGAGACCCAATTATGGTAATCGGGATATCGATTTAATAGATATTATGTAGCAAGTGCCGAATAAAAAGTTTTCAACGCATTATAATGCATTATTCTAAAAACAAATGCATTATAATGCATTAAATAGGTTGCATTATCATGTTAATTGCATACATTGCATTCCTATAGTAAAATAATGCATTGCAATGTCCATTATTTCCTAAAATCGGCTACATGGGAAGCCGTCCACGCAAAAGCAAACGGTGAATGAACAGTCGCTACGCAGAACACGACAAATATAGGATACTCTGTAGAGCTTCCCTCAGTAAAATTACAGGTGCGGGTACCCATACAAGTTCTTGTTCACCGAAACATACTGCTATGGTTACCCAATGCAGTGTCTACATCAGTATGGTTACTGAGAATTTTCTAAGTACCCTTAATAGGTACCCTGGTGTGACTTTCTCAGTATATGGGTACTTTGAACTCAGGACATTCCCTAGGGCACATACTTAACTTTTTTCAAAACGGCAAGCACATAAAAAATTATTCTGCTCTTCATTAGGGGTGGTACGTTTACGTTAATTTTAAATTAACGTTAACTAAAACCGTTAATTAACTCGCATTAAATTAAATGGTCCATCCCTACTCTTCATTCATGACCTAACAATAGCTAGGCCATTATAAATGAGCTCTAACATATTAGCTAGCATAAATTTGTAACATGTTGATATCTTATGGACCATTTACCACTATGGGGGTTAAAACTGCCTCATTTATAACTCGAGTTATAAATTTTGTGTTATAATCGATGAAATTTTAGGTCGAAAAGATAATTTGGTGGTAATATTCAACCGTAGCTATAGCATTTCACATTGTTCATAACCTTCAACCCTAGTTATCACATTCAAATCTACTAATAACATTGAACCATGGTTATATCTAACAACTAATATTATTTCACAGATTTGTTACATTGGTTTTTCAACAACATCTATGAGTAAGTGAGACCTGGCCAAGTTCCCAGGAGTCGGGAACACTTCGGGAATTCGGAACTCAAAAATAAATAAGCGACAACGAGCGATGAGAAACCAAAACACGTAAAGCATCTCAGGGAAATCAAGGAGCTCAGGGAAGCCATGGGCTCCGCAGAACTCTGGGACTACAAGGCACTCAGGGAAGTCGGGGAATCCGAGAAACTCTGGGACTCCAAGCAATTCAGGGAACTCAGAGAAGTCACGGTCGTCACTGAAGTCAGGGAATCCAAGGAACCCACGATACAGTGTAAGTGTATGGATGAAGGAAGGTAGTAGAAGACACCCACACTACAACCACAGCACACCCACACGCCCACACCCACACCCGCGAATTTTCAAACACTGTCCCTGTCTAGTGTATTACAGACCGACCTACTGACCTTATGAAATTCGTTAAAGTTGTTTTAATTCCTACGGATTCAGATGGAGTGAGGATGTCAACTATTGTTTCGGCGCCTTTCACAAATTGTATAACTGCTAAAAAAATGTACAAATCACGATCCATTGAGAGTACAGTCTGTAACGGTATTTACCGTTACGGCTCACTTTATGTACTTTACCCTCTTAGCTGTATCCTATGTCTGTGCATTGACCTGATGAACTCTCATTGTTCTATTGCGTGACTGTTCCCTCTTTGTCTATATCCGCCCAAGCGTGATCACTCTCGCGTATATAAGGGAACGTAAGTAAAGGAAATGCACGACTAGAGATGTGCAGATGACACAATACATCATCATGCCGACGGGCATAGGCGAAACTCTCTATGTTCGTCACACAGTCCATATATTGATTCACACATTTTCGACTTAGTGAATATTTATTGCAGAAAAAAAGTCACGCTTCAGCTTTGTTGCTAGTTGTTCTAAAGAATTTCCCTGACAACAGATCAAGTTATCATGAACGATCCAGGTGATTTTATTTTTATTATTCTTAGCATATAAGCCACATACGGCTGCTATCGAATTCATTTTATAAATGTATTTTAGTTACCTGCAATCCGAATTGCCTTAATGGCGGAACATGTGTAGCTATGAATACATGTCAGTGCGTTACAAATGTATGGATAGGACCCTATTGTCAAACACGTAAGCATTCAATCGACTAAAAATCCTATATAATGACTTGTTCACATTCAGCGATGCGCATCCTGTGGGCATTCGACAACAATCTTAATGATTTGTATAACAAGTTTCAAGGTGTTGGTTCCAACAGGCCGACCTACCGCTCTCCAGGTATTACAGGCTATGGCACTTGTCTCTACTTGAATGCCACATCCTCACAATCCGTAACGATTTTTACACCACCATTTATCAACATGGCTTTAACATCATTTTCTCTGTTCGCTTGGGTTAAAGCTACATCATTTCATAATACTGCGATCGGCTCCTATTCTGACAATGCCATATTTGGCCAATGTCAGCAGACTGTTCAAGATGAATGTCTTCACCTTATCGTACGTAATCAATATATCTATTTTGGTTTCTTTGCCGATGATATTTCAAGCGTTACTCTTCTTTCTACAAACACTTGGTATCATGTATGTATACGTTGGAACTACACGAAATATGATTCTATTTTAGTCTATTTAGATTGGCTATGTCTACGATTATAGCGCAAGAACTCAGTATATCTATGTTAATGGAGTACTTGACGTGTCTGGCAGCCCTAAAGGACCCTATCAAGGTAGCATGGGAAATCTGACGATTGGAACCAATGTTCTTAATTTTCCGAATAATTATTGGGATGGCTGTATTGATCAAGTGTCCTATGCTGCATTAGCCAAAAAGTAATTCTTTCTCTATGAGGCAACTTCTAAGAAATTTTTTTCTCTTTCCAGTGCCACGGAAGTACTCTATGAGGCCACTCTTACATTTTCATATTCTTTTGAAAACAACCTTATCGACAGTGGAACATTGGGTATCAATGGAACAGGGATTACTATTGGTTATAGCACATCAGGACGAGTGAATAATTGCCTATCTCTACTTAGCAATCTATCTTATGTTCAAGCAACAAATCTCGTACTTCTCGGTACCGTTGGCCAACCATATTCTTTTTCCATCTGGATCAAGCCAAATACAGTAGCTGGTGGAACGATCTTTCATGTGTCATCAGGAACAGCTGGTCTCGGTGGTTGGTGCATTCCCATGTTAGGATTTACCAGTTCAGGTAAAGTTGGTGTCCAGAGCTTGGGATCCAGCTCTGTGTCAATCACTGGCCCTGTAACTACAACCAATGTGTGGACGCATCTGGCAGTGACTTATGGACCCTCGGGTGGACTTCGACTGTATGTTAACGGAGCTCAATATGGATCAGCTTCAGGCAACTATACCTATCAAGCCGCTGGTACTCCTGTTTCACTCTTATTAGGTTCATCTCTCAGTGGCTTAGGCTCATGTGCATCAAGTGTAATTACAATGGGTCAGTACAATGGCTATATCGACGAATTCGAATTATATTCGAGAGAACTCTCTTCGGCTAATGTTTACAGTCTTGCAAATCCATAAAATCTGTTTCACAATCTTCTCGTAGATACTCTTCATTAACCACTTATTAATTCTTGTTCTCATAGAAACTATTCACTACATAGCGTTTAGTGTATTTTGCTCACTATGATAATGTCACCGTTGTTTGGTGTGCAGTGGAAATCAAGAATTCAAGATATTTTAGTTGTTGTAGGCCTGGTAAAAATCATGGAAGTTTTCGCATTTACTTGATTTCCAACATACCATCATTGACTACTATGAACAATATTGATAATCGAGCAAAGTTCCATTCGTTAGCTTTTTTTCTCACTTTTCTAATTTCTAATATGTACTTCTTTGCCTCATATCTTTCTTAATTAAGGCTTGAGGGTGTGGGTGTGGGTGAGTAAAGCATGCCAAGATCCAGATTTCGACTTTGCTAAAGGGTCATCATCAGTTGCGTTATAACTCAGAGACAGCGGAACAGGTACGTGTTTTCCTGCTTATTCGCGTCTCACAATATGTAATGTTCTTCGATAACTTACATATCGTAAAATTGCTGAGGAAACAGAGCGGTGAATTGTCAGTGCAACAGGAATGTAATGGAATCTCTTGAGATGATCAGTTGAATGATTCAGTAGATGTCAGTGAGCGTATCTTTCCAACAGGAATACTTTCGAATAAAATGGGTAGCTATTCAAAACTGGTTGTAGGTATTTGAACTATTTTAGATCTTAAATATGATATGGTCATAGAAACTTCTGTAGCCATTTTGACAAATGCACAACATTTTAAAACATCAAATGAGGCGTCAACAACTAGAATAAGACCTGATAAGTTGTCAATCGATCAGGGATGTCAGATCTTCTGAATTTGGCAGAAAAGTTCTGATTTCTTGCTTTTTCTGCTCTCTTTCTGGGTTTCTGAATTCTTCTGAATTTTGAGATTTTTTCTGTTTGTTTTCGGAGTCCTGGTATTCGTCTACATTATCACTTTATAGTAATTTTACTATATATTTTACTGGTTTACTGTGTCACCTTTATTTTCGCAATATTATTGGATAATTCATTGTATTTAGAATGATTCAGTAATGTACACTCGCTTATATCTAACGTTTGTTCGCATTCGCGTCCGACCGAATCTCATTAATATAAATAATATTTTCTAAAGTGAACTAAATTTCAAAGAAAGATGAAGTTTTAATTATTATTTCGTACGTTTTAGAGTGAATTAGGGTAACGATGGATAATGAATTTGAAGATTCAATTATGATTACAAGTTCAATTGAAGCAGAACAAGAAATTATGGCAGTAACAATTACCACCCAAACGATAAAAACATCAGTTTCTCGTAAATTAAAGAAAAACAAAGGTGTTTTTAAAAAAGATTGGTTAAATATAATAGAATATCTATCTTGGTTGCAGGAAATAAAAAATGATGCTTCACAAGCTCGATGTAAAAATGTTTTTGAAAACATTTAGTGTTCACCATGAAAGAAAATCAGCTGTAAACAAACATATTTTTCCAATAGAAACCTCAATATTTAGATCAAAATGTTTGATAAGTTTTTTCTGCTTTTTTCTGAATTTACAGAAAATGGATTCTGAATTGGTCCGAATTTTTCAGAATTTCAGTAGGAAAATTCCGATTTCTAACTTTTTGATCTGGCATTCCTGCAATTGCATAGTAATCGAACTCGTACGAATTATTTACCTTCAGTTATCTTTATCTTACTCAACCAAAGAAACCGCTTTAAAGGCATAAAGTTAAGATTTTCATTTAAACGCAGAATAGTCCCTAGTCGAACTTTTTTTTTCAAGCGCTAGAGAAGACTTGAACTCAAGATGTGTCCATAGCGCATGACATTCTTGCCACAGACAAGCCCTTGAACGCTTGCGTGAGTCATGTGGGCAGATAAATGAACTCATGCGCTGGACTCATGTAAATCATATGATTATTCGCGAAAAAACTAGCTAGAATTGAATACTCGAACCTTTTCTGCCCTACATAATATGATGATTATTTTCTGAAATTGTTAAATATAGTTACTATTTAAACTGTCTCTCTGTTTTTCGTCGTTAAGTTTTTGTTATTTGAATATGTGTTTTTATTATAAACCGGGCTATTTTTAACATAAGATTGAAGAAAAAAGAACAAACATCATTTATAACTTTTAATTAAAACTAGTCTCACACGAAAGAAATTTAGTTTCTGTCTTTGTGTCAGTTGATAGAATCCGTTGAGCTAGTATTTTCGCCAGCTTGTGATGGAGATGTGCCAGTGATGGTGGTCTTCGAAGTTCGTATTGCTTTTAATATATTATTACGTTTATTATCGTGCTTCATTTGTCGTACTGATTCTTTAACTATTTGCCATGTTTCTTACAATGCTTCTTCGTCAACATCTAAACGTTTATCTCTTTTTTTCAAAGCATCTATAAGGAAAAACAATCGATTAATATTTTTTATTTGTAGATTAGTAAGTACTTACCTTTAAGTTCTGTTACCATTTGTTGGTTCGACAACACTGCATTCGGATTAGATGCATAGCCAGCAAGACGGAAAACTTGTCGAACGAATCGAGTGTGTTCATCGAACTCGAAGATGAGCTTACTCACATCAACACCAAGAACAATCTAAAACAGTTGAATTGCATTTAATTAATAGCTAATTTTTTCACTCACTTCTGGATCTGGTGGTGGTGGTACAGGGTGAGCTGCCAAATCGATAATGTTCATTAGATTTTTATTCTAAATTTCAAATATTATATATCTAGATTGAAACAATCAACATCGACATACCTCTTTCAAAAATTTTCTACTCTTTAGAATACGAAATGTTTTTTCTAATACCTTGAGCCGATTATCGACCTTATATTGGAACAGCAAAAGTTCCTTTTGAACATTAGTTATTTCAATATCAGCACTTGATTTAGAGCTTGACTCTTTTGAGCGTGACTAAAGTTTAGTAAAATGTAGATAGAAAAAAAACTTAATAT